AAAAAAAAAAAATCACAAGAAATCTCCCCTTTCTACTAACCTTACAACCATGAGCAGAGATGACCCTGAGATCTGCCGGGATCCGGTCTCCTCCTTTTACTTCCACCAGATCTCCCAGCACCACTTCCTGCGCATTAATACTCAACTTCTCACCGCTACGGATCACCAAGGCTTGCTGTGGTAAAAGAAAATGGAGCATGTCAAGGCCAACCAGCTACCCAATGGACAATGTCAAGGCCAACCAGCTACCCAATGGACAATGTCAAGGCCAACCAGCTACCCAATGGACAATGTCAATCAGCTACCCAATGGACAATGTCATGCCAACCAGCTACCCAATGGACAATGCCAACCCAAAGAATCTGTTGATTTACTGGGCTCTGCGCCATGATGTGTCGGTCAGCACCTACCTGGGGCACCATGTTCTTGAAGGACTCCATGATCCTGGAGCTCTTTGCTTCTTGGTAGTAAGAAAAGCAGCCGGTGATGATGACGACGGCCGATAAGACAACACCAAGGTAGAGCTGCGGCAAAAGAACAGAACGATGATTTACAGGTCACATTTTATGGACCCAACACGAGCCACAACATTGATGGCACTTACATTATCATTCTGTGGTTCGTCTTCCATGCCTGCCTGGATGCCGTACGCAAGGAAACACAGGATGGCTCCGATCCACAGCAGCATAGAGAAGCCTCCAAAGAGCTGACGGCAGAACTTCACCCATTCTGGAGTGGTGGGGGGAGGGGTGAGGGCATTTGGACCATCTCTTGCCAAGATCTCGGCTGCCCGGGCAGTGGTATGACCCTAAAAAACAAAGACATTTGTACATGACAATCAAGTCCTGGGACAACAGCGGTCTGCAATGCTTCGGTCGGTGGACATACCCGTGTCATATCTGTGCCATACTTGCGGTGCAATTCCTCCAGGCTCAACTTGTGGTCTTCCTGTGAGGAGAAAAAGGTCAGAAAATTCACCAACTTATACAAGACACAAATAATGCCTGGTGGGACTACAGCCATGCATGGCAGTGCCCACTTCCTCT